AGTATCTCGCGTGTGAATACAGTGCGTACGCGATGGGAATACAGTGATGGAATACGGTGTGAGTGTGCGTGATGCAGTGTGTTTTGTATATGAATCACGAGTGCTTTGTGTGATGCATCGGAGTACCGGTGATCCGGAGCTCCTGTGCTCCGCGGAACGTCAACAAGGAGCCGGTTCTAACCTATATTGGATATTTTGAATGTCCTGCTCTAAATACAACCTGGAATGCATGCCAGAATACGTGTGCAAGGACCATCGCCAGGCATGCATGTACCGATCCGGAGCTCCTCTGTACTCCGGCGTGGAGCGTCGACCAAGGAGCCGCGCTGTTCCAGCCCGGATATTTTGGATATTCTGCTCTAAATGCAGTCAGGAATGTCAGGATATGTGTGCAAGGATCATCGCCAGGTAGTTTATGCATATACTGATAATCAAGGATTAATATCTGCGATTTCGTCGAGCTGTCTCAATTTCCAACACGAGAAAGAATCGCGTGCGTACGCTGTGTTCCGTTAATTCGCGATCCTGTGGCGAATTTTGACATTTTCGGATCGTACGGCGTCGATCCGACGAAAAATCCGTTGTCGGATACAGTTTTTTGCGAGATAAGGCGACAGATTCGACAAGTGCGATTCGCGCGCTCGTAGGGACGCTCAGCTAAACGGTAGTGTCATTGCAATATGGCAGACGTGCGACAGTTTTATTAGGTGACTTTCACGCGATCATATCACTCACGCCACCCACACAGCGTATCTTTCGCGAAACGAAAACGCGATATCGATATTATCGACTCTCGAATTAGAGCATATGGTAAATAACGTTCCTATGGTAATAGTAGTTTGAGATCGTTGGTAACCCACAGTAATCCACCTCGAAAGATAATCACGATCATTTTGTTCTACAATTCGGTCGGTACGTAATCAGTCGCGATGTTATCATACGCGAGGGCGCATCAGCCTTCGAAAGCACTCATCTCTAAATGCTGCACTCTTGAATCCGATCAGATATAAATATTTTTAGGATTTCTTTACTATGATAAATTAAACGTAGCGAAAAGAGTTCACTTGTTCGATCGTGCATTTTACGATTTTTAAATACGCAATAACAATTTAATAACAATATTGATAATTATAGAGAGACAGACACTATTGATAATATTATAATTATGATGTAAATGTTCAATTCTTTTATGTTTTATCTTTTTTTACATTTTGACACGCTGTCCTTCATTTGTTTCCATTTTTAAATCGAAGCATTCGAAGCGAGATATTACGAGCCTGTCAAAGGGCGATTATTATAACGCGATGGCGTCAAATCGTAGCGAACAAACTAAATGGGCAATTAGTCACGCGTATATAACCAGTCATGAATAAAATGGGGTAAATATTTTCGCTTCTATTTATCGAAGCGAACGCGTGCTTCTCGTGTGTAACGTGAATAACCTACCCATTATTAAATTGAAACCTCATGTGCTCAATGAAACGTAAAAATAGTAATCGCTTAATGAAAACTTTTCGTCGATTTAGATTAGCAATTAATATAATAAATTGATAAAATTCAGAAATAGCGATTTTGTCATTGTGGCAAAATGTTTGATGTTGAAATTTCGAAACTTTTCGGTAAGATTTTAATTAAAGGTTGACGGAGAAAAATCATTTTACTGTTTGATAGGAAATATCGCCGGAAATATGTTCGTCAAATATACGTCCATACTTTTCACGTTCGAACGTGCCGCATAAGATTATTTTAGACAATACGATTTCCGTGTGTATAATTCTTGTAAATTTTTAAAAGCATTGGAAAAGTAATACGATTATTTTTGAAGAATCAGAATTAATGTTGATTGCGGATTTATTTCCCGGATTATCTGCTGTTTGTTTTGCAATACCGCGATTATTATTACTCTTTATTACCCGTCAAATATTATAACAGGCCATACGGAAGCACAACAGATCAATTAATAATTTAATCTTTACATATAAACTGTTGGGTTACGCGGCATTGTGTATATATTTTGGATTATTGCCCGATAGAGAGCGGATCGAATAATTTTTGCTGCAATATAAATACGCATCACATTACTTTATACAGAGGGAACGTCCCATATCATATATATTTTAATGATATTAGGAATCAAATCAGTAATAATGGCGGTATCGATATATGTATATATATATATATATATATCGAAATATCAATAGCTTTTGTGCAATAAACACTTGCAAATGAAATTTTTGCATGTATAAAGTTTCAATGGTAATACATCGGGACAGTTCTCGAACGCGTAATAAGATTTATTCTTCGATTGAACTATCCTGCAGGGGAATTGTTGATTTAACAAAATTTTTACTTGAAGGTGAAATTATAAAAATATTTAATTTGTCTGCGATTTAATTCAATTGAACGAATCCGTCTCCAGATTTCCGTTGAATTTAAATTGCCTGTCAAGCAGTGCCAGATCGCGTCAGAGCCTTTTAAAGCGAGTCGATGATGCGCGTATAAATTTATAAGGAGGCGATACAAATAAAAGTAGTCGTGCGGTTACGCGAGTAGTCACCGGTGTGCCTTTAATTGATAACCCGATTAATTATGCATTCGGACTTCGAGCGCAACACCACTTGGCCAGGTCAAACAAGGGTGGCAAGCCGTCCAGAATGCGGCATGCAAAGTGCAGCTTGCGTGCGAAACGGTTGTGACCTGACGTAGAGCTTTCGCTAAAAGCGCTTAAATTTATAATGCCGCGGCGTTATCGGTCGGCCGCTTGCAAACAGCGAATTTAAGGATACACCCCGAGAGAAGGAGGGAGAGAGAGAGAGATATGTAATGTGCGAAAAATTTGTAAAGAAATTCGACGGGAAACGTCGCGTCCGTCGCGAGAGCCGCTGCTTCAAGAGAGTTATTAACGACACCCCGTGCGGCTTTAAGAACTAATATTTCCATCATTGTTAGCATTTATGACGTGCCGGGGTCGCGAATCCTATCGTTCGTTCTAAAAAGAAAACATGCGAAACCGTCGTTGCCGGAACTCTTATTGAAGTTGGCTGGCTTTTAATAAAAATGCACACGTGGCAATGGAAAGTAAAAATTATATTCTATAATAGAAAAATCTCAAATTTCTTTTAATTAGACAAAATAAAAAAAATAACTACTGTTCGGAATGGATTCCGGAATTATTCCGTTTTTTTTTTTCTAGAGAAGACAACAGAAATTTAGGAAATAACTACACGATTTTGATCGAAATCTATCATCTATTCTTAATAGTTTTATAACACCCAGGTGTCATAGTTAAAAAAAAAAATATCCAAACATTCTAACATTTGTTGTAATTTTTTTTACGAATTTAGAACGCTCTGTAAGGAAGCATTAATATAGTTATAATTATATATAGCTTAAAATAATATATAGCTAATGTAACTATAATTATCAATTTATATTATACATATAACTATTTATTAGATATCAACTTATTTGTCATCTTAACGAGATGACAAAAATACTGTAAATTTTGCAAATAATAAATTTCAGACACAAAGAACAATTTCAAATATCGGACCATTTGCATATCACGCGGACGCAAAGCTCGATGCACGGAAACTCGTAGGTGAGATCGTTAGCGCCAAGGGTGCGACTCGACATTGTGTTCCAGAGTATGTCTTAAGTGTTAGTTTATTGTTATACCCGCACCCGCTGGGCAGACTACCCTTACATATTTAAGAACGGCCCATTAGCGTCTAGTGCAGCGTCTAGCATTTGCGTCGCGAAAACGTCGTCGGATCTTTGCGCGCGTACACCAGCTAAGTCTTACCGCGCGTTTTGCTCGCGGTCTCGACACGCGAGTGGATTTACAGGATGTATTCGACATAATTGTGCCGCAACGGCTGCCAAGCGGCAAGCGCGGATGATTGATGATTATCCTTCGATCTAATCAATCAATTCAACTTCGCCGGATGTGCCGGGCAGTGTGACGCTCGTTAATCGATCGAGGCGAAAGGGATGAAACTAATAATACGCTTTAGTGACACGCAGAAACGCAGGAAACAGAGAGCGAAAGCGAGAAAGAGAGAGAGAGAGAGAGAGAGAGAGAGAGAGAGAGAGAGAGAGAGAGAGAGAGAGAGAGAGGAGGAGGAGGAGGAGGAGGAGGAGCGAGAGTATCCATTTTAATCTTTCCAATTGTCTCGTAATTAGCGTGACGCGGATGGATTTACTAGAAACTTGTCTGTTCATTCATAGAATCATCACTTTTCCGCTTGCACCGCTAATATCCATTTCTGTCATTGTATAGATTAACATTAATCTCGGTTTAACTATTGTGTTTTATTTATTTTTAGTTCTAAGGATTAGAAAAAATAAGAAGTGAATTAATTAAAATTAATCTATATTGATGGAAATGGCCTGATTGCAGAACGAATTTTTTGGAATTAATTTACTTCGAGAGTTGTACTGAAGTGTTTCTCGCGATTTTCTCAATTCATCAACCAGCCTTGTAGTCTTCTTTTTCAATTTCTAGAGATTTAATTTTATCTCATTTGTGATTAAACCGAGCAATTAAAAGCAAAGTTTAAAACAAAAGCTTGACCGCAAGGAACTTCTGTCTGAATTGTATGCGTCCTCGATATCGATTGATCGCACGTCGTCCTCGCGCAAGGGAATCTCACGCGATCTTACAAATCGGGATCGTACGAGAATGTCGGTAGAGAGCCGCAATCTTAGCGGCCGACAAACGCACGGTAGGCGGACTCATTAAACTTTTCGTCGTTTTCGTCCTTCGGAGAATCGTGTCGGGAGCAACGGCTCCCACGGGAACAGCAGTGTGGCGCGATTATACCGACCGCTCCGCTTCGGAGGAGAGGGAAGGATTATACGGCCGCGGCGTAAAGAAGAAGGGTTAAAACGCACACCCCGATCTCTCTCTCCCTTTCTCTCTATCTTTTCTCTTTCTCCCGCTGTAGAGAGAATTCGAATGCTCGAACGAGGGAGGACTGGCGCGAGGAAGGACCCGCCAAGGAGAAAACGAGAGAGGATCATCTCATCCGACTCCCCCTCGTCTCCTTCTTCTCCTCCTCCTCCTCCTCCTCCTCTGGCGAGCTATCCCGTTTGTTGCCTTTGTCGCGGCCGTCCGCCGGGCCCAATCGCACGAAATTAATGTCTCGCCATTATTAGCAGAAGTTAGCCGACTGCGAAGAAGTTGCCACGCCACGGGTGTACTTTCGGACGAGCGCGTAGGTAGGGGCGAGGGGGGGGAATAAAAATAGAGAGTCGAGTGGAGTTATAACTTCTGGCCTCTGATCGCGCGCGTTCGCTCCTGTCGCGCCATGTTTCTTCGTTAATGCAATTGCCTGTCGGCGGCGAGGTCCTCGGATTAGATGACACACGAGACTCGCATCTTTCCTGCGACCGACGACGACGTT